TTTACTGCTTTGATTGAATTTTCTTATTCCTTTTTCCTTTATGAATTTTGATTCTCTATTACTTTAACTGACTTAGTATTGAGATGAAGTAAAGTTGAACAGTGAAGGGTAGTGTAAGGTATTAGATTCAGAGTCCTGAACCTAACTGTATTAAGAAAAAAGCTGAAAATTCTCTGGTGGTCCAGTAGTTGGGACTCTGTGATTTTTAAGTGCAACAAACACAGGTTCGATTCCTGTTTGGGAAACTAAGATTCCATATGCTTCGGGACACAGCCAAAAAAAAGAAAAAGAAAAAAAAAACTGATGTAAAGTTTGAAAGAATTTTTAATCCACTAATGTGCTTATAATTTTGTGAAATGATAAAGCCACCATTTAGGGACATGAGCTAAATAATAACCTATGTTCTTCTTGAGGGAATTCGGACTGAGTTATACAGAGGGAAATTTTGCTCAAAGAATTAATAATATCTAAAAGAATACTGTGATCTTTTTCAGTTTAAAGGGATAAATCTGATAATAAAAGAGTAAATAAAAGCCAAGAATAAAACTGACACACATCTCCTAAAGTAGATGGATAAATGGAAACAGATGCATAATCTAAAACCTAATGTCACTACATACAAAATTATAGTGTGCAACAAAGGTGACCTTCCAATTAATTGGGTAAAGAATGTTTTTTGAAATAATTCTGAGACAATTTAGTTAATGATTTGTAAAACAATTATATTTAATATCTACCTCATATAACATATTAAAAATTAAATTCTATATCAATTGTAGAATTAAATGGGAAAATTAAAATCTTGGAATTAATGAAAACACAACAAATCATGTAAATGAATTGTTGTTCTATTATGGGGAGTGAAAGCCTTTCTTATACTATACCAACAAGAAACAGCATAAAGAAAGTGATCAATAAATTTAAACACACAATTTTAAACTTTTAGGTATCTAAAAGCATTATTAAAGTTAAAAGTAAATAAAAACTAAGAAAAATATTTTACTACATATTAGAACAAGTTAGCATTCTTAATATATAAAGTGAACATCACAAGTCAATGAAAGATACATACACAAAATATATGTAAACAAAAAAAATACACATAAAAAAAAAACAAGAACAGAAACTATCTAATAGCAATGGGAGAAATATAGATGAGAAATATTATAATATTATAATATTTCACATCAGAAAATAATAATAATTCTCTCTAGGTTTTGGAACTAGATTTTAAAATTTTTTCTGTGTTTCCTACATTTGCTAAAATACATGTTACTTTTATAATCAGGAAATACATCTATAAATAGATAGAAAAAAATATTACTATGTCAAGTTGGGAGTTTAACACTTGACAGTGTGGAAAGATGATGCTATCTGGAATCAGAAGTCCTGAGTTCAAGTCCAAGTGTTCGTTGAATGAGCTTGGATAAAGTCACTGGACTGATTTGAGCCTTGGTTTCTCCAAACAGAAAATAGAAGAAATAATCTTCATGTCATGAATTGTTGTGAAGAATAGATTTTTAAAATGTATGTGGGGAATGTTTTGTGAGATCATTTAGAGATGTCAGTGATTTCTATTTCCGATCTAGAGCATTGGGGCTTTTCCCAGCTTTGGGCAAAATCTGTGCATCTTCTCACAAATGTTCCTTTGCTGGATGAGGGTTTATGTTCCTGCGTTGTTCAGGTAACAGTTCACCTGAGATGTCTTGGATTCTGTGGTCATCTCAGTGGATGGGACAGGAGCATCCCCTAGATCTTCACTATAGTCAAATGAAGCTGTAATAACAATCACTGTTGCTTTTCTTCTTCCATGTTATATGCTTTACCATTCAGTTCTAGTATCCACAGAATTAATCTGACAACCAAGTTGATACTATAATTCCAAGTTCATGACCTCTAAAAAGTCCATACTAATTTCAAATTCAGGGCAGTGTTGTAAGTCAAATGAGACCACCGGCCGATCTCCTTTTCCAAAGGTAGAAATAATTCCTTTGTGAATGCTGCGTGATACCCAGTGAGCACAAAACGGCCAGAACAATCAACTTTTCTTCTTTCACATGATCCCCGATAAGCAGAATAGTGCTGTTTCTACATTTATATCTCTATGAGAAATAAAAGCAGAATTATAATTGTCCCAGTGAAAAACCTTACATCCCCTTGGTCTTTTTTTCCCCCTCTTGGTCCGAAGCCTATAAGCACCCTTTTAGAGTGAAAGATGAAAAGAAAAAGGTGAAGGGAAATCCCTAAACATCCCCAAGGAACAGCAGACGTGGATCTGTGGAGAACACAATTAGCTCTTCTGCTAATCCTGTGAGGTTAGAAAAAAAGGATGAAATGAATTGAAAGTCATCAAAATAATTTAGAGAAAGTATAAAAATTATTTACTGGTTGACTAAGCTGTTAATTACTGCTGGTTATGTAAAGTATAATTTCTCATGTCTGGGAAACCTTAGAAAGAAAGAGAGAGAAAGAGGAGGGTGGGAAGAAGGGATGGAAAAGTTCAATACCAGCTCAAGGGAGTCTCTTTTGCTAGAAGAGATAAATTAGATGTGATGGAAATTGCCATAAAGAGGATCTGGGTAGGTCTGGATCTTTAATAACTTGGTCTGTAATCATGGGCAAATCACTTTTCCTTGAGACCATTTTCTCATCTGCAGTAGATCAGTGGTTTTCAAATTGTGCTCCCACAAAACAGTGCTGATCCAGAAGCTAGACTAATGAACAATGGTGATCTCTATACAACTCACAGAAAAATGAAGTAAAAGACCATACTCCCCATCTGCTATAGTTTACTTATTTACATTTATTATAACAATTCCTGCATTGTGTGGACTTTTCTGAGCATACACAACCATTTCTTGGATTTGAGATATCAATAAAAAATACTTTTCTTGATTTTAAGATTTTTCTTTTTCACTTTCAAAATACCTGTGGTCCTACTGCCACATGTCTGGTGGCTGAGCTTTAGCAAATGACAAAGTAAACTAACAAAGAGAAATAAATAGTAATAGAAGAACTTAGATACAGTTAATCATACTTAAGCTTTTTATTTCAAATGATTGCTGTTGATTTTTAAGATTTATTTACATAGTAATGAATTGCTTTCGTTATGTGTGCATATTCTGCTTTTGATTTCCTGGGCTAGATACCTAACTCTTGACTCCAAATTTAAGGCTCTTTACCTATGCCATCTCACATTAAAACTTTGAGAACACAGTTCATATTAGCTTGCAGTTACAGTTAGATCTTCATATTCTTTACATGCATTAAAAAAAATCCTCATAACTATGACATTGTAAATCAACTACATGCCAATGAAAATTAATTTTTAAAAATCCTCATAGCAATTCTATAAGTATTTAATTAGACTTCTTTTACAGATGTGGAAACTGACACACAGAGCCCAGGGTTATCGCTTGTAAGAGCAGAAGTTGGAAACTAGTGAGTAGATATTCATTGTTAGAGCTGGATCTGTCTTTAGTATAAACATTAAATCAATAAACACTCACTTAAAATCTGCACCTTGAAAAACATCAGATAGATACTAAAAAATAAACTTGTTCTGCATTCCAGACACTTAAAAGAACATGTATCCAATGACTAACTTTAGTGAAATACTGTTTTTAGCACTTGCTGGGAAATTAAACCTCAACATAGTAGACAGGAGAGAATATGTGTAGATTCCATTTTATCCTGAAACAGCAACGCGTATGAAATCTACAAGGGTCAGTCACCAGGTGGTGGGTGGTCGATGCAAGGTCAAGTTACCTTGGTGCTGACAGTTATTACCCAAAATCTGTTCTAGAAGCATGGAACTCTGGGTAAAGGCTGTTTGGGAAGCTAAATAAATGGATGCAAAATTTTCTAGGTGTGTGCATTTTAATTAATGATTAATAAAATCATATATATGTATATTTACAAATTAGACAAACATTTGGTTTTGTCAGTCTTTATGATAGAAGAGAAATCTTGTGGGACTTCCCTGGTGATCCAGTAGCTAAGACTCTGTGCTCCCAGTGCAGACTCTGCGCTCGCACTGCAGGGGGCTCAGGTATAATCCCTGGTTGGGGAATTAGATCTCACATATGAAAACTAAAGATACCAAGTGCTGCAACTAAGACCTGACTCAGCCAAATAAATAAATATTTTTAAAAAAGAGAGAGAGGGAGAGAAATCTTGTGCTAGCAAACTTTATTTGGAAGTTCTAAAGTTTTATCTTTCTAATTGAAAAAGAGAGTCATTGTACAAATGTTTAAAAATCTAAGAAGCCACAGCAGAAAATGATATATAATGTACCCATAATTATATCACCTGGAAAAAATTACATCACCTAGAAACAATTACATCACCTGGAAAAAACTAGTTAACACTTTGATTACACTTTTCTAATAATTCTTCAATGCCTAGATATACACACATATTTACAAATATGGGACAGTGTTATTATATTGTTTCAAAATCTATTTTTCTCCTTGTCAAAAATCATGTAACTATTTCACTATCATTTAATTTTTCTTACAGAATTTATAGATATATAACTTCTTACTGGGACTTCCTAGTAGTCCAGTGGTTGGGACTCAGCACTTCTGATGCAGGGGGCATAGGTTTGATCCCTAAACAGGGAACTAAGATCCCAGATGCTTCGGGGTACAGCCATTAAATAAATAAATATTCCTGTTACATAGATGAACATAATTTAACAATCACTTGTCGTTGGGTATTAATGCCATAATTAACTCCTTTGTATAAAAAATTTTGATGATAGTTATGAGTTTTCCTAAGTCAATTTTTAAAAGTTAAATTCCTGGGTTAAAGACCTCTAATACATTGAGAAAGATTGAAATTTTTCATATTCCCACTAACAGAGAACTAGAGGATCTATTTTTCCATATCTTCAAGAACTGGGAATTATATATATGCTTAACAAATGGAAAATGTAAATATACATATATATATATACACACACATATATATTTATACAGTATATATTCTAATTTTAGGTATAAAGGAGCATCAGAGCTTTCGTTCACACAACAGATAAAGGTAACCTTTTTTCATATAGGTCATTAGAAAATTTCCTTTGATAATATTTGGTAATGTTTTTGAGATTATATGGAAGTCTAGATTTCAAAATATAAGAGTAGAAATTGGGAGAACTGGATTTTAGTCTTCTTTACATTATTAGGGTTGGAAGATCTTAAGTTAAATCACTGGTCCTAAATTTCCTTTTATATATACAATGTATTCATAATACTCACTCAAATACTCCTGTTGTTCCTGTAAAAAGCAAATTAAACTATCTTTGTGACACCGAGGAAAGCAGATCTGAAAGAGACACGTGCACCCCAATGTTCATTGCAGCACTGNAGTATTAATAAGACACATTAATAATTACTAGATATAAGAAACTGGGTTCCACCATTTAACTTTAAAATGTTTTGAAATACTTGAACAGATAATTGACAATTCAGTTTGAACAAAGCAGTCAATACCATAGTATGTACATGTATATATACACATATATATGTATATATGATTTGTATATTTATAGAACTTATAGAGATCATTTAGAAGTTCTACCTTTTCTAAAATTTTTATAAGTCAATTTACTATTGACATCCTTTCAAGGTGATTTCTTAGTGTATGCCTTATGAAAAAATATTCAGTGATCTTAATTTTATATCTAGGTTTTTAACATAGTATGAGGCCATTTTTCTGTTTAATTACAAAATCTTCATAAGTAATTTTAAGCTGCTTGATATGTCATAGTGAGGATTTATTGACTAACGATTCCTCTTCTCTTAATCACAAGTTATTCTCAATTGTTTATTTTATCTCTATCATTTTTTTAATATAAATATTTTCTACATTTTTGACTGTTTCCTTAGGGTAGGTTCTAAGAGGTGGAATTAAGGGAACAAAAAGTGTGAACATTTTATGACTTTAAATATGTATTGTTAAATTGCACTAAAAAGCCTTGTGCTAATGTTTAACTCCTCTGAGAATGTATAATGTAAAGACTTACTTTGGGGTTATACTAGCCACCACTAGACCATACAACCTTTTTCTTATTTTTTAAATTATAAAAATGATTCCTGTTTGTACACCAAAAAGTAATTCAAACACTTTTCTTTACACCTTTCTCACTCCTCATCATTAAGAGTGCGGCAGGTATACTTTCAGACTAATTTTTTAATCCAAAATCTTTTTTTCTTTATTCTAGTTTTAATAATAAATTTCCTTTGGTGTGTATTGAAAATTTATAGATAAATAGCCCACCATATCTGTGATTTCAAGAGTATTATTATTTTTGATGGAGATAATATTTTTTTAAAGTTTATTTAAAAATAATATATGTTAAGTAAATAACAGTACAAGTAGTATGGAAACATGTCAAAACAAAAGAAAGAAAGAAATCAGAATAACTTTTAGGAAGCTGTATTCCTGACCAGATTACATCCCTTCTCTGAGTTTCAGTCTGAGTGTGAGTGGTAGGAATCTGGAAATACTAGTGTGTCTGTTGGATGGGATGCCTCAAAAAATGGCCAGTCTTTCAGCTGTGTTTTTTTTCTTATGAATTTCGATTAACATAGATGGTTTAACACAGCTCCTTCTTCCTAAAAAGATCTTCTCTAGTTAGAATTTCATGTTAAATTATAAGTTAAGGCAAGACATTGGGTTTAAAATAAAATCCCAACATTTTAACAGAATATTACTGCCTAATAACTCTGTAGTGTAAACAAAAATGTTTAATGTTTCCTTACTGGCTGATGTCCTGTATTGTTTTCGAGTGAGTAAAAAATCTAAAGTTCTGTATAAGTCCACATAATGGGATTTTAAAGCCAATGGTTTCTGAAGAACATCATGCATTTAGACTTTGTCTTATTGTCTCTTATTCATCTTGTACCACTAGTATTCAGCTGAGTATGGCATGTCGTAGATGCTTAACAAATATTCAATTGTTGATGGGTATTCCACTGAACGTTCCATACTACAGAACCTAGTTTGGTAGAACCATAAATTTAACTTCTACCATTTGGGGAAAAGACTTTAAAAAAAAGAAAAATTAGAACATTGGTATTGAAACATCTTTTTTATTCACAGGTATATAGGCAAAGATTCGTGTAGGGTAAGTTTAATACTAGTTATTGCAATTTCTCTTCCTTTGGGAGATATTTAGAATCATGAATTATCTGTGTTTGTCTTCTTCCAGTCACTTCTTGCTAGGTATGGACACCAGTCAACTAGTTCCATGTGTTTAGATTTGGGTTTATGAGAAAATACTGATTTTTCTGTAAGGGATCAGAAAGATGTGTTAGTGACTTCACTTATTTGATATCTGAAGTCCATAGTTATCCAATTTAAGTCTTAAAAAAAACTTGTTAAAGACTAATTTTCAACAAGAGTAAAAGATCTTGAAAATTCAAAATAAATAGCCCATTGAAAATAATAAATGCAAATAGTAAAATGACTATATTGAACTGAATGGAAAAGTAGTTTTACATAGGGCAGGAAGGAAAATACCTCCAAGTTCAAGAGGTGTGTGGTCAAACGTTTAAAGATGAAATATTGTTTTGCTAAAATCATCAGCTTGAACAGTTTTCCAGCTGAAATTTAGAAAGTGGGATTTATAAACTGGAATTTTTTTTTGCATAGTTTTCAGGAAGCAGGACTTTTTTTTTTACATGATATAATGTCAGTATTGAACCAATGACATTAAGACATTTATTCACTCTTGTTTCGGTGGAAATTCTATCTTTTTAATGGAGCTTCTGGACCAACTCTTCCTTCTTTCCATGATTCCCTTCTACAGGGGATAAACATCCCCTTTCCCTTCATAAACACTTTTCTTTGAGAGGTTTGGGTGCTTTCCTTTTCTAACCTTTAAAAACCAAAATGATTTATAGATTATCCCTATCCTGCTAGGGTTGGGCAAGTAAGTGGATCATATTTGCATGGGTCACTCTGATTATAGGACTCCACTATATTTTGAACTAAAATTGTAAGATTTATTATACTATTAATACTCATAAAGGCACTCTTCTGATGAGCCATAATTTCCCTTTATGAGGAGTGTGTATGCTAGTCACCCTTGATAAGGGAGAAGAAGGTCCGGGCTTCCCACATATTCCTATTTCCTGGAACATAAACAGAGTCCTGAAATACCATATGACTCCAGGGGAATAATGGCATAGGGTACATTAACAAAAGGCAAATTTCACGGAGTCAACATGTCCTCAGGAGACTTGCTTCACATTGCTGCCTGTGTACAAAATCTAAGCTTTTCCATTTTAATTAAGAATTTTAGAAATTAACCCTCCTGGTGGAGGAGAGAACCCACCAATGAGGCTTGTATTATCTTTGTGAATATTCTTAGGGAATGAAATAGCAGGAGGTGTGAACTTTCTCCTGTTTATCTTAATGGTCCGCTAATGGCAAAGCATAATTACAGTTACTTAAGCGCCAAGTCTGTCAAGGTTTTCACTAAAACCTTCAGCTTCAACACTTTACTTGAGTGACCTAGCTTTTATTTATTCAAATAACTTTCTTATCATTTGAAAGAAAACCACCCCCAATAAAAGCAAGCAAGCAACAAAAAGCACATTCCCCCACCATGTTTATTTCTTTCATGTTAATTTCTGTCGATTATTTTTAGATGGATAGTTCAGGCACTCGTGACTTCAAAAAATGTCGAAAAATTTGTGCATGGTGTCATGAATTGAATTTTTAGCCTTCTCACATTCAAAAACCAGGGCTATGCGGGAGTTTTCCAGTAGCTTGCTTCACGGCTTTGGGAAGTCAATTTGCCTCTAAACCAGAAGATGGTCTTCTCAAGAGTATCCTGTATTTGGAATGGAAACTGAGCCATTGTCCCTTCCGCCCAAAGCGCCCATTTGAGAAGCCCGAAAGCCACCTATCTCTCCATCGGTCTCTGGATCTCCTCGCTGCCTTTGTCCCTTCTAGACGTGGAGGCTTGGAGAGGAGGTTTAGTTTCCAAGGATTGGAGCGTTTGAAGGGCGGGGCCATCTCCAAGTCCATCTCCCCTTTTTGTCCTCTTCTCCTGGGACGGGAGGGAGGAGCCAGGTCCCCCCGCGGCCGGTTCGGGAGCTATCTCGGTCGCTCGAGGTGAGTCTGAAAGGGCGGCAGCCCGTTTAATTGCAGCGCAGGTTAATTTCTTGAGTTCACCGCAGTCGGTCCGCCAGGCGATTGCCCGGTCTTTGCCAAGTGGGTTTATGAGGTCTGAGGCGTGTTGGGGCGCGCTCACGTTCTCGCGAAAGGCTCCTCCCCGGGGCTCATTCCCCGACTGCGGGAAGCCCTTTGGTGCCCCAGGAGCCCTGCGTTTCCTCTGACCTCGGCGCTTCCTCCTCTCTCCGCACCGCCGGGCTCCCCGCGCCCCTGCCCCCCTGCCCCCAGGGAAGGGCGGTCCCCATCTTAGGACTTCCGACCCAAGCCATCCCAGAAGGTACCTTCACGTCGATGAAGATTTTATCACAGCCTCCAAAACCCGACAGTGATAGGAGCTTTCAACCTGAAATACGAGTGTTATTTTCCCGGTGCAGAGCTTGACAGAAAAAGTCAGCTTTTTATTAAAGACAAAGAGGTAAATTATCAGCCGGGGCAGTGGAGGGACGATGGAGACCTGGCGCGCTTCCTCTCGGTGCCACGAGGAATTTATGGGGGAGCGGCGGCCAGCGCTCAGACATCCCTGGGGTCCTGTGGGGGAGGAGCTCGGGGCAGAAGGACTTTCCCAGGTCCCTCCAGGCAGCTGGAAGGGGGAGTCCTCCCAAGTCTGTACAAAGCCAGGGTCATTTCAGTCCTGCCGAGTCTTACCGTCCTCCTCTCTCCTTTCTTCTTTCTCGGATTCCCGTTTCCCTTTCGCCTCAGAGCTTTCTCCTCCAGGTTTTCCTCTGCCTACTTTTTCTCTTCTCTCTCCCTCCCCCCTCCTTTCTTCTCCACCGCACGCGTAGAGTGTCATTTATTTATTTATTTATCACCCCCGCCATCAACACCCTTTTAGGGCTCCCAAGCTTTTCAATGTGAGT